GAAAGTGGCTAACCAGAGAAGGAAGTTTGGGAGAACACTGGGCTTGAGGGTCCCTGAGGATCTGCCAACACAGAAATGTTGGATGTGCAGGGCAGAGAGTCTGCAAAGCTTGTCCGTGAACCATGAGCTCACAAGAGGGAAGGTCACCTGCGTATGTCTGCACAACACACCAGTCGTCATTCATAAAGGAGTAAAGCTCTACATTTCTCTCAAAAACAACTGAGAACTACTATTTTGAATAATTGTTATTCATTCTCCATTTCCAGTTATGTGGCATGGAACATGAGATTTACTGTAAATAGAGAATGAAATTGAGATAAAATAAAATGCCTGGAGAGACTCCTTTTTAAACCTGGATGTTCAATGTCAATCACAGATTGAACTCCTTTTTTTAGCAAGAAATATCCTGAAATCAATTTGTCCTCTGGAAAAAAGGTCCTAATTTAGTAAGGAATTAATCCAGGAAATTGCTTTTTAACTAGACATATAAATAGGGTCAGAGCCCTCTCCTTTATCATAGCCCCTGGCTCATTTACATTTTTTTTTGCAATGTGTTATTGTTTTCATTTGTTGTCAGTAAATTTTTCCTTCATTTAAATGTAAGTAATTCTGTCTCCTTGGATACATCCCTTCTCCCTTTTTTTCTCCCTGCTCAATTTGGAAAGATCTCAACATTTTAGGAAGGAAAACCAAGCGTGTCAAGTAGCAGAGCTTCCGAAAGACAGGCACACTTCAGTACCACGGCTACCCAGAATGTTGTCAGAATGTTGGAGACAAGGGTTCAAATTGCTTTTAGAAATTTTTAGATTACAAAGTTCACCAATCAAAAGGAAATGTTTATCCATACCCCCAATGTCATGCATTTGGAACGCCACTTTCTATGCTAGAAGTAATTTTTGAAATAATTTATAGTATAACCATTAAGAATAGATAACAGAACTAATTCTTAGGTGGAGAAAAATCACAAAGACCTTTCTGTAGCCAATATGCTATTGTAAATGAAAGAGTCCCAGTGAATCAGGTTGTGTTCCCTGGCAACAGACCCAGAGAGGGAGAGTTGCAGATGTATAACCAGGAGATTAATACCTTCAGATGGAGAACTTGTTAGGAACTGCTCTCCAGAGGTAAGTGCACTATATCTGCCTGTGTAAGGAAGTGGGAAAGGCAAGACTGGGAAAGGGAGAAGGTGCCCTCAACTTTTGCTTGCAATTCAGCACATCCTGGGGGAACACAGGAGCTGGATGGCCCATGGCATTTGCTGTCCAAAAAGTAGGCTGTTATATCTCTGTGTTAGCCAGTCATTGGGATGCTCACTGGGAAAGTGTAGGGCTTAGGTAGGGAAATCCTTTATGCAAGGGTAATTCCCAATGTGCATGGTCAGCAGAAAATACTGACCACTATCAGTGTGAAATGGCCTGGAGAGAGGCATCCAGTGTCTGGTGCACCAAGTGGTTGTATTTCCCAGTGTCTGCTGATAAATACTCTGTTGCTTTTTGTTTGCAGTCATTATTGTCGTTATCTTCTGCTCTGTTTGTTTTTGATGATCCTGTAGTTGGTATCAGAAGACAAACTCCCATGAAAATGTTCACATTTATGTAATACTCAGCGTCTCCTGAAGCAAAGAACACTGCTAATTGGTTTAAAGGGTGAATGAACACCAACCCAAAAGACAGACTTCTAGATACACACAGATGTATATCCCTGGGGCCTCTTGTCTACATTATAGGGTGGTGAAGCAGAGACTATTCCCCTCTCTTTGCAGATTGTATTCTAGAGCAGATCTCCTCTCTCCTTCTCTCTCCCTCCCTATCCCGCCTTGTCAATTTCAGTCTCCCTTTTTCTCTATTCTCTCTTCCCCTCTTTCAGTCTCCTCTTTGTCTCACTCCTCATCAGACACTATTTGGGGAGGGCAGGGTGAGGGGCAAAAAAAAGATGCTACAGAAACCTCTGAACTTCTGAATGAGTTCTGTCTTCATAATTCTGAGGGTGCATCTCTCACCTCACATCATGGGTACAGTGCATTGGGAAATTAGACCATGGGGACTGGGGTGCACAGCTCTGTGAATGCCTGAGTATCTAAACCCCAGATCTAAAGGACAAGTAACCCTGTGTGAGTGTGTGTGTGTGTGTGTATGCGCGTGCTCAATTGTAGCAGGCACAAATGGAAAGTCAGGTTTATTAAGCACCTGCTTTTACCAGGTGTAGCAGTAGAACATACTAGAAACTGCCCCATATCAACACCATATTTATTTTAAATATTGTTATCTTGTAAGTAGTGCATCTCAGATCTTCCACAGTTTTAGAATGAACAAGTGGAGCCATTTAAATAGAAAATACAGGTCTAGTTATAAAACTTAGCACTTTTAACAATAACATATTCATCTGAAGATGAATCTCATTCATCCATAGCTCTGTTTGTAATGTATCAAAAAGTATAAAATGCATAATAATGCATGCTATAAACACAAATTTAGCCACTCGACCAGTAGAATGTGTTTTTGGCAAATTATACATACATGGAGTATAACTTATTCTATTTAGGATCCCATTCTTGTGGTTGTTCATTTAGCAGAGTTACCCTCGTTGTGTATTCAAATACAAGGCTAGGAAAGTTATATCCAATTAATTCTACAGTCCTTTCTATTACACCCCCCTCTCCCTTCCATTCAATCCCCTTTGTCCAATCCATTGGATTTCTATTCTTCCCCTCCACACCTCCATGGTTTAGCATTAGCATCCACATATCAGAGAGAATATTTTGGTCTTTGGTTTTGTCGGATTGGCTTATTTCACTTAGCATGATATTCTCCAGTCCTATCCATTTACCAGCAAATGTGATTCATTATTCCATTATTCTTTATGGCTGAGAAATATTCCATTGTGTATATATGCCACATTTTCTTTATCCATTCATCTGTTGAAAGACACGTAAGCTGTTTCCATAGCTTGGCTATTGTGAGTTGAGCTGCTATAAACATTGATGTGGCTATGTCACTGTATTATACTGTTTTTAAGTATTTTGGAGAAAATCTTTACCACAAATACCTTGGATATAGCATTAATCTCCAGGTTATACAAAGAGCTAAAAAATAAATTGACATGAGAAAAATAAATAACCCAATCAATAAATGGGCAAAGGAACTGAACAAATATCTCACAGAAGATGACATATGAATGGTCAACAAATAAATGAAAAAATGTTCAACATCGCTAGCAATTAGAGAAATGCAAATTGAAACTACACTGAAATTCCATCTCACTCCAGTCAGAATGGCAATTATAAAGAATACAAGTAACAACGAATGTTGGTGAGGATGTGGGGAGAAAGTACTCTCATACATTATTGGTGGGACTGCAAATTGGTACAACCACTATGCAAAGCAGTATGGAGATTGCTTTGAAGACTTGGAATGGAACCACCACTTGACCCAGTTATCACACTCCTTTATCCAACACTCTTTTCTCCAATTTTTATCAGAGGAAGTGACTAGGCAAAAGATAGAAGGCAAAAAGATGGTGGCATGTTTGGGGAACAACAGATACAGTTTTTTGACCACGTAGTGACCAGGTGGAAGCAGACAAAGCATAGGCAGAGGACCCCCATAAAAGTTTAGCTTTCAAAGATTCCTGAAGGTTCTTGACCAACATCATCTTTCAGAAACATTAATCTAGCAGCAACATAGTGAAGGTTTCCAAAGTGGAATGTCAGCTGGGGTACAACTGCTGAAAGGTTGAAGGAATGTGGTTCAACGAGGAGTGATGTGTAACATCCACTGGCCAAGGTCTAAAGTTTGGTACCAACTCTCGTTGCAACCTCGGATAAATCCTTCCACCTCACTGGGCTTCCATGTTCTCATCTGCAGAAAGTCTATAAATTTCCCTTTCAAATCTAAATTTTTTGGCAATTAGGAAGGAAATTAAGGTGATTTCATGAGCACAAAGACAGTTATGAGTATTTGAGATAAACTCTAGATTGGGACTGACGGTCACAGTGATTGATACCAAAGGTCAATGGAAATAAAAAGCACATGAAAAGTGTGGGATTGCCATCAGAATTTATTTTAGATATGCCCATTCTGAGATGTTAGGAGACAGACTGGAGATGTTCACGAGGCCAGCTGAAAAAGAAGCCCTCGAATCCAACTATGGGGTCTTGAGTGGGATTCAAATTTGGAAGCTATTGACATGGACAGGAAAATAGATGGAATTGCTTAGGGACAGACTGTGGAAATGAGGGCAGTGAATCAATCAGAACTGGCTCTAGTGACACTTGAAGGAGAAACAGAGAACTAGGCTCCAGGCAAGGAGTGGCCAGAGAGGTAGAAATTCATAGGAGGCTAGGGAAGGGACACTTCAAGGACAAAGGACTGAGCAATCAAGACTGAATGCTTTGGAGAGTTTCTTGGTCTAAAACTGCAATGATTCCAAGAGGTGATGCTGATGTAAGCCAGGTATCAGAGGGAGGGGACTGCGTAAAATGTGCCTTTGAGTACAAAATAGATTCAGAGGCATTTGCAGGAAAAATGACTTGAGAAACTCCAGAACAGGGTTGGGTTTTTTTCTGCTAGCATGGTCCATAGACCCACTTGCATTAGAATTACCGGGTGCTTGGTGAAAATTCAGATTCCTGGGCCTCCTTCCAGAACCACTGGATTATAATCACTGGGGAGAATGCTTTGTGTATCTTCAGTTTAAATACCTCTGTCCCTCAATAAATCTGATCTGTGCGGGGCAGGGTGATTCCAACCTGTTTTTCTAGTGAGCAGAGAGAGTCATCAGAAAGAGATCAACTAAAGAGATAGCAAGGCCAATGGAGAATCCTGAAAAGGCAAAATGGGATCTAGGGCTCCAAAGGAAGGAACGGCTAAAGAAAGTCTCCACCTGTGGCCAGTGACATCCTGTTCACTATGTGGAGATCCAGGCTCAACAGTGTCCAGCATGACTCCCTGAAAAGACCTTGCTGTACCTCCCCTCCTGTTAATAATGTCCTCCATCTACAGTGACAGTCTTGATGCCAGAGATGTACCAGGGGCTGAAGTCTCGGCAGAAGCCAGAGCCCCCGATGAGTTCCACAACCCTCCCAGCAGCAGCGAGGAGAGTACAGGCAGCTGGTCCCAGCTGGCCAACGAGGAGGACAACCCAGATGACACAAGTAGCTTCCTGCAGCTCAGTGAGCGATCCATGAGGTACCTGTCTTTCACTTGACTCCCAGGGAAGCTGCTCTCAACACATTACAGAAATGCATTTTAGGGTTCTCTGCAAAGTGTCCCTAATACAGAAAAGTCGAAAAAGAAAGCCACCATGGGGTCAAGGTTCCTGCCTGTCATGATTTGTGCTGAAAGGCATCTTAATATCCAGTTATGCCTTAAATTACCTCGGCCAAAGTGAAGAGTTTGTTCCCTTCCCTCAAAGCCCAGATAATGCATTCTGTGATAACAAACTTCTGGGATTTGGGGGGGGGTTGTTTGTTTATTTGTTTTGTTTTGTTTTTTAATGGAGGACTTCTATTACACTGGTGTGTTTGAACTTTGTTTCTGGTTCATTTGTATTTCAGATGCAACACAGGCTGGGTCTACATGACAGAAGCTGTGTTGTGTGTCTTGATCTGACTTTCCTCCTCTTGACCTCCCCTGTCCTCTGTATTGCTCCTTCAGAAAAGGCAGACAGGAGTTTAGGAGAGATAAGTTTTGGAAGGATTTGAGACAGTCAGGAGATATGTACTAAAAGCTATTCCTCTGTGAAGTGGAACCTCCAAAAGAATCTCTGTGTTTCTGTTCCAAGTCTTGTTTGACATTGAACCAACAAACCCACAGATATTCCAGAGAGGGCAATTGGAAAATGAGATTCCAAAGCATCTGGATATATGTAGAGCTCTCTGGAAATTCTGTTACTGACAGTTGAGTCTGTTTAGACTTAGGGATATTTCATAGTGTTAAATAATTTATCTAAAATTTTTAAGAAATGTGGAAAATGCCACAAAATAGAGACAAAAAAAAAAACAGAAAGAACTTGAGACTTTTCACTCAACAGCAGAAGTGTATAGATTATTCACCTCCAGTATAATTTTGAGTCATCAGGTTTTAGTCTGTGAACATATTGAATGTCTCACCTGAAATTTCAGACAAGAATTTAAAATTGAGGGAGTTGGGTTGGTGACTCATGGTATTCCTGAAGAAAGCCGAGTCAGTCCCATTACATGACGCACCCTTTCAAAACCTTGCTTAGAAGAGACATCACTGGGCAGTAGAGAAGGTGTGGGGAAACTCGTGAGTTGCTAACAGCAGGCATGTTCCACTTCACAAGGGGAGACAGAGCCTTCAATGTGGCTCTACTCTGCTGTGTCTCAGTGAGCAAGGCTGGCAACTAGACCATGTGTTAATTGTGCAGCCTGTGAAAGTGACACACTATATAATATGTGATCCTCCTCCTTCTCTATGATGTGTCATCCTTTCTGGAAGACTATAAGATGGAAGAGTGATAAAATCTGACATTGCCGAACTTGGTACTTGTAGGAAACTCAAGCCAGGTGCACATCCTATGAAATCCTATGGAACGTCCCTGAGAAAAATCTGTGAATGGCAAAGGGACCACATGTATGAGTCCACAGGTTTCTATCAAAATCCAAGAAGCAAACAGATAAGCATTCTGGTATCTCTCCCAGACAGTATTTTCAGGAACATCTTCATCCTGCAGACAAACCCAGAAGCAGGAAGTGTTTTTGCTGGTAGATAAAATCTTTCCCTCTAACCAGAATGAAGAAAGAAATAGCAATTCTGATTATTACCCACTAGGTAGGATCTGCCAGGTGTGACTATAAATTATCATAATAATGATAAAAATAGTTGTTGTTATTATTATCAGCTTGAGCCTGTTAAACAGCTTCTGTCTTGTGTTTTCTCCTAATGTGGTTAGAAACCAGTATCAATGAAGGACTCCCAGACACACTGCAATGTTTTTCCAGGGACCTAGGGAAGGACCTCTTACAACAATGGAGCATCAGTGTCAATAGCATGGTCAGGGGGTGGAGATGGGCATTAATATGTAAACTTTTGCTTTGTCAGCAATGGCAACAGTAGTGCCACTAGCAGTCTTGGCATTATGGAGCTGGACATTTATCAGGAAAGCATACCATCTTCTCCCATGATTAAGTAAGTAGCCACTGAGATGCAGTGATTGTGAGACCACTACTCCAATTCCATCTGGCAATCCATTTCGATCATTCAGGTCGTGCCCAACCACTGATTCCATTGTGTCTGTGCTGCTGTGGTTTCATGTCACTAGAGCAAGGACTCAGGACCTAAAACAGGCCTTTGCCCTATCACTACTTGCTTTCTTGGTTTCCAATCTGACCCCTGTGGAATTTTATTTCAGATAAAGTTTACCATTATAATCGGAACTGTATGTAATTTTACTTACTTGGATATATAGAAACCAATATTCCATTTAAATTGTACTATTTACTGTTCTTCACTATAGAATACACTCACTTCAATTGAGTCAAAGTGAATGATTTTTCCTATGCTTGTGGACACACCTGAGCTCACTACTAAATGTGTCTAGTGCCAAATGGTTGCCATAATGGAGATGTGTGACTACCACATGGGAACTTCTAAAGAATAAAGGAAAAAAACTTAGATAAATGTGATATGTACTACATAACTATAGCACAGAAAGGCAGGACATCACAAAAATTAAGACTACTTACAGAATTTGTGATTACTCTGGAAAATTAAAACCAAAATCTTAAAATTAAAATCCAAATTAGAACCAAAAATCTTTGTTTGATATTATGGCTTAGCTTATTATTTGTAGATTTCTGAAATTTTAGAAAAATAAAAAAGTTGAGGACTAAAGTTGCTAATTAACCTATTTTCTCAGTCACTTTCTACATCCAAAGAGCTTTATTTCACCATTTCATCAGAGATTTTCCTCAGCAACTGAAGGTCACAGTGAATCCTATGTGGTTCCATTGGGCCATTATTCAACACATTATTCTTTATTCTTTAAGGAGAAACCCCAAATAAAACAAAACAAAGCTAATTTGGGGTAGCATTTGTTTAGGGACTTTTTCCATCATTCTCTGTAGTATGAGCCTAGACTCAGGGAATGTCTGTCTTCAGGGAAAGTCAAGACCACAATCTCCATTCACAGCCTCCTGCAGCTCCACGGACATCACTCACAGACCAAGTAAAAAATCTAGACCCTTAGGAAACTGGCATTTCTACAAATAGTTAGGTATGGATGAAAAGAATAGCTACATTCTTTCTCTCAACATCAGTGGAATTTATCATTACAATGGAATTCATCAATATAATCAAGCATATGAGCCAGATCTTAATAGCAACAGAGAACATGAAAGAGTTCTCTATTATCAATAGGTACATTTTTAAGAGCCTAAATCAACTTTCTAGACAGTATAAAAAATATAAGACATTCACAGGCTTCCCAAGATGGCCACTTCCATTTATCTGTGGGCCATATGATCACGTTTTGGAAACCCTACTGAGGCTTCCCACTACCCAGAAGGCTCTGTAATAAGCACATACCAGGGGAAGACACCTCCAATATTCAACATCACCATAGCTAATGAAATACCTTCAGTTAGGAGGCCCTTGTTTTAAGATAACTTCCAACCTACTAAATTCCTCCACAATAAAAAAAGAAAAACTTCCATCCAGAGAGATATTTTGCTGTAAAATTTAAGTTCTGCAGTTTATCCATTGTCTTTTGCCTTATTCCAGAATGAAAAATGATGTACAAGTAAAATACTAATTTTCTATATTAAAATGCAAATATATATTCCTAGCATAGTACAGAGGGGAAAAAGCATTTGACAAGATGGAAACATATGATTCATTGAATGACAAGTAAAATATATGATAAAGATAAGTCCCCAAATCAGAACTCATTACCCAAAAATCTCTCCTTAACTGTTCGGCCCTGTGAAGTTTTATAGAAAGGAGGCTGAAGAGAAGGAGGCTGGGGTCTCCCACACCCATTGTCCTAACTAGAGCCGTTCAGGTTGAACAGGTGAAGGAGGCTATTTGCTGCAGACAGCACCCTATGTCATACTACATGGGCTTCTCCCAGCACTAGGTTGCTCTATGAGAACAACAAATCTAGAATGAATGTCAGGAACTTTCAGTTCAGTAAGACCCATCACCTCATCTCCCATTTAGAGTCTGTTCTTCCTAAACATTACCAACCATATTCTATTGTTTTCTCCCAAAGTGAATTAGTAGAAGAAAAGGAGATTCTTAAAGAACAGTCTGAGAGCATAAAGGGTAAGCCCTGTTCCATAAGTTTGACACACAATTGCCTGCTTCTCCCTTTGGGAAGTGGAGTAAAACCGTGGTCGTGTTCATTCAGAACAGGCACCTGGAATGGCAGTGAGAGCCACCAGTCGCCAGAGGAGCCTGCTGGTGATCAACTTCGACCTGGAGCCAGAGTGTCCTGATGCTGAGCTTAGAGCCACTCTGCAATGGATAGCTGCCTCAGAATTGGGAATTCCCACAATCTACTTTAAGAAATCTCAGGAAACCCAGATTGAAAAGGTACCATGTTCCATGTTTGGGGAGGGTATCAATAATGCTGTGTGTTTAATCACTCCTGGAAACTCAGTAAATGCCCATGGAACTATTATGAATTTGAAGTATTTCATCTTGACCTTTCTGGGCCTCAAAATTGTGGCAAGAACTTTGACACTCTCCACCTATACAGGTATAGTCATGATTGCTGTTCTTTTGAGACTCCACTGGTCCCAACTGGTTGGTGGCAATGAGAAAAGTAAATAGAAAAAATATATATATTTTCTGTCATTTTTTTAGTGCTACCTTGCTCTGGAGACCAGCCTCTTTGTAACAATGAATTAAATCAAATATAGGAAGAAATGACCCAATATGTATTAAAAACTAAAGTGAGGCCACACTGATATTCAAAAGGAGCCTTGATGTGGTGTAAAAGAGGAGACATGTTTTAATTCTCCACTAAGCAATTTCACATTAGGGGAAACTTCTCATTATCATTTTTCATCTTCCAGAAATACAAAGCTGAGCAGCAGATCCTAAGCCAACTTCACAATGAATAGCAACTGTCGCTGTGATTCCATGTCTCCAAAATCTTTTTTTTTAATCTGTAATAGAATTCAACCACGTGAATCCATTGGCCATGTCTTCAAACTACAGCTCCCATAATTTAAAAGATATCAGATTGATGGCAACACCATATTAGTTTTCCATTGCTGCTTAACAAATCCCCTAAAATTTACCAGCTGAAACAACGCTCAGCTCTGCAGACCAAAAGTTCAGATGAGTTTGACAGTGATTTTCACTCAGATCTTACAAGGTTGAAATCATAGACAGCCTGGTTGAGCTCTTCTATGGAAAGTTCCAGGGAAGAATCCATGTCCAGCTCATTTGGGCTGCTGTCTTCATTCAGTTCTTTGCAGTTGTAGGACTGGAACTCCCATTTCTTTGCTGGGTTTTCCCATCAGGCAGGAGCCCCTCTCCACTTCTAGAAGCCACCCAGCTCCTCACTGCATACCCACTTTGTGTTTCCACACTGTCAGTCTGGTGTCTTTTGCCAGTAGGCAGAGAAAATTCTCTGCTTTCAAAGGATTAGATTAGGTTTCCCTGATAGTCTCCCTCTCCATCAAGTCAAAATTAACAGGAATCCCTGCGACCATGTAAGGTGGCAGAGTGAGGACTTGCTCTCTCCTGCCATTCATGGCCCCAGGGATTAGGGCAGAAATTGGGGAGCTGTTTTAGGACCCTGCCTGTCACAGCCACCATGTGTCTTTTTCATGTCATATTGTCACAAGGAGCCTCTATGTACCTTAAAATGCATTTCTTAATAGCCATGTGAGAATTGCAGAATACATATATATACACATTTTTATTTGGGGGGTAATCGGGGATTGAACTCAGGGGCACTCAACCACTGAACCACATGCCCAGCCCTATGTTGCATTTTATTTAGAGACAGGGTCTCTCTGAGTTGCTTAGTCCCTCACTTTTGCTGAGGCTGACCTTGAACTCATGATCCTAGTGCTTCAGCCTCTCAAGCCGCTGGGATTACAGATGTGCACCACTGAGCCCAGCTGCAGCATAGATATCATTGCCCCTTTTTTACTAATGAGCAAAGCGGGGGTCAGAGAGGCATTGGTCTGATAGTAACAGTTGAGCCAAGTCCCCAAGCTCTGATTTCTCTATAAGACACTTCTCAGTCATTCTTTACTAAAAAGTACTTCCCTCAAATTAAATGAATTTAAGATTACAATCTGGAATTTATTTATTTATTTTTGTTTTTAGGAATTGAACTAGGTGAAATTTATCACTGAGCTACACACCAGTCCTTTTTTGTTTTTTTAGGCAGGGTCTCACTAAATTTCTTAGGGCCTGGCTCAGTTGCTGAGGCTGGTCTTGAACTTACAATCCTCCTGTCTCAGCCTTCTGAGTCACTGGGATTACAAGTGTGCACCACCAAGCCGGCTACTCTACATATTTTTAATGTGTAATTTCATTTTAATTTTCAGTACCAAAACCTATCAGCCTAAAATAAAATGTTCTTTACCCTCTTTCCCATTTCCCTGCTAGTTAGAATTGGTTTCTTGCCTCTGTTAAACCAGCCAATGGGATTAGCTACTGGAAAAATCAAGGAGTTCTAATCCCTTTCCCATGCCCTCTCCCACCTCAGCCTCTGCCTCCAACCAGTAGTGCATACCTCTTTGCATGCTTAGGTCTGCCTACCAGTCCAGAGTTAAGTCTAGGCATCCTCCTATACTGAGCATGCTTTCTTTCTGCAAAGTGGTGAGTAGGTCACTGTTTAATAAACTCTTCTTCCATCTTACCACTCAGCCTTCTCAGGGCAAAGGATGGAGTGATAGAGCATAAGTCCGTCTCACTCTCACACATATCATACAACAGGGAGGGCAACTGTGAACAACCTCAGGTTCATAGACAGGTTGGTTTCCAACCTTACCTCTAGCTACTCCCCAGATAGAAGCATTTGGGTGGTGTCTTGATGGAACAGATTACTAATGTCTTGATTATGGAAATCATATGAGATTATCTCCATCTGATTTTCTATTCTAAAACAGAATGCCTGTCCTCATTCATAACTATTTTTTTTCTGAAAATAAATCTTCCACTAGTGTTATTAAGAAAAACATTAAATGACATTTTACTCATTCAGTTAGCAGTAAGTTAAGGAATTTAATTCTAAATAATGTGGTTTTAGGGGATAATTCTTCTAATATTTTTTATCCATCAGTTAAGGCTATCTATATTTAGTGGCTTTACCACAAACGGGAACCACTTTTGGTCGTCTAGGACTGAACTGGTAAATAAATGAAACCCTTAAATAACATTTAGACATATCTGCTTTCATCAAAGGTGATCTTTGAGACCTCATTCTGTTTTGTAACTGGACAAGTGGTTACATAGTTATTGTCAGGAGGGGCATCTAGATTTCATTTTTTGGGGGGGGATAAATTAAATCAGTCATCATGTTTCTCTTTACGATATTCTCAACTTAGTAACCTGTGCTAAAGAGGAGGAGGATCTCATGAGTGTCTACTAGAGTAGCTCTTCTTTCCCATCATTGCTAGTGAACTTGGCCCTGAGCTGGAGGGCGCTTAAAGACAGCTTGGAACTGATTCCAGCTTTAGTTCAAATCCACAGGCAACTTTCAAATATCCTGGGAGCCCAGTGTTCTGTCACTCTTCTAGTGACACACAGCAGCTTCATTTTCCAAACTTTTCCTTTCTTTGGTATTTTGTCTCATCGTTAAAAGACTATCTGCCCTTGAAAGTCACATTCAGAACATTCATCAAATGCTTACGGAGTATCTTCAGCATGTCAGGCCCTGCTCTAAGCTCTAGGAATCCAGGGAACAAAAGAAACAAATTCCTACTCTCTCAAAGTTTACATTCTGGTTCAGGAGGAACCCAAAGTAGGGAGACCATAAATCAAAAGAGGCTCAGATTGTAACCTTGAGATGTGATGGCAGCTCATTCTGAACAAGGAAAATGAGCAACACACATGTTTTCAAAGCATACCCATGAGCCAGTTGAGTACAACACAAGATCACATGGGGCATTTACTCAGAGTTCAGATTCCTAGGCTCCTTCTGGTCTCATTCTGATGATCTCTAAAGTCTGAGATCCCCTCCCATAATAGATATCCTGAAGGAGTGGCAGAATTCACAGTGGTCTTAAAATATGCTAAATTCCATGGGAAAGACTGCTGAGAATCCCAACACCTGATACCGGAAAATGTTTACAAATTTAATTTATAACATCCTTGACATTGTTTAAATTTAACCCCATTAATTCAAGGCAAAAAAAACAGAGAGAGAATCATGCACAAATCTGGCTAATAAAAGAAAAAGACATTCCAGTGTTTAATAGTCATGATTTGGGGATCCAAAGGTCTTGGCTTTGCAGATCCGTTTAAGGTCGCTGAGCTTCCATGAGCTGGGGTAGGCTGATGACTGTCCTCACAGCAAATCTGGTGCCTTTTTTACCTTTAAAGCTGCATTGAAAATTACTTTCTTTTCTTCAAAGAACAGAAAGGAATGCGCAGAAAAGTAACAGATACATGCTTACCTTCCTAAGAAAGTGGGGGCCGGAAAAGAAGTGGCCTTGCCTCTTATTTCTTACTCCACATGAAAAGTGATAGAAAGAGAATGAGAGAAAAATGTTGATGGTATTGATATAACTTTTCCCAAAATAACTCCAATTAAAATATCAGTTCTAAATAAACATGTCACATAGAAAGGAAAAATAAGGAAGCATTCAAGGTACTAAGGTTTGTCATTTGTAAACCCAAGAATTGTCAGGGAACAGAATCCATTAGTCGGGATTCTCAAATTTAGTGAGGGTTAAAATCACCTGGGAAGGTTTTACAAACCTACTGTTCTGACCAGTTAGTTCAGAAGCTCCTCTTTGACGACACCCAAGCATCAGAGTTTGTGAAGGGATTCCAAGACACAGCCAAGCCAAGAATCACGTCTCTATAGGCCATGAGTTTAGGAGCAATCTAAGCACCAACCAACTCACTTGTGCTTAATGAAATCTAATTCTGCCTTGGAGTAAAACATAGCAGCTATTTTCAGAAGTGTAAGCTGAATGTTTCCAAAAAAGTGAACAATCCTGTAACGGCTCCCATTGATCCTACCATATAATTTTATCAGAACACAAAAGTCATCTACTATTTGATGCTTTTCCTTCAAATGAATCTGCTAATGATAAACTCTCACAGAACATGGATTATTTTAGTTTCCTAAGACAAATGCTCAAGAAATGCCCATTGTGATCTATATTAAAGGAATCTAATTAGTATTGATAGTGGAATGGCAAAAAATAATTTTCTTGTTTTTATTTTTTTAAATCAGTTAGGGTTAGGGTTAGGGTTAGGGTTACCCAGATCTTTGACATACTAAAGCTGATGAGGAAAATACAGAGGCGACAGCCTGACAGACACCATCGAGGCTCTAGGGCCTGCTGCTAAATAAATGTGGGTTTAAAGGCCATAATAATGAAGTGGAAATACCTTCCTCTCGCTTCTTCACAATCTTATTTCGTTTTTATATGAACTTTTTAATAAAGAAAGCATGAGACCTTCTTGCTCCTCAACTCCACAAATGTTTCAAGGTCTCAATGTCCAAGTCATCAGAGTCTTGGAACATGCTATGTTTGGTGGGGCCAGATCATTTTTAAAACCTACTCTATTGAAACGTCAACCTATTGAAACTTAGCAAGTGTGAGACAGATTCTAGCTCCTGGCCATCGCACAAACTCCTGGCCTAGTGATCTACCTGCTGGGATATTTCTGCCCCTTTGGGTCAGCCATCAGCATCCTGTGGTCATCCTGTGGTCACACAGCAGTGAGATGCTCTCCTTCACGGGCCCCAAAGAGATGGAAAGAAGCTTTAGTCTGGCTTCCAGAAAAATCTGAAGCAGCAAGCCTGGAAGGGTCTAGCAAATATTGGCATCTGCCCCTGATCTTTGATTCTTCCTCCACCCCTGGGGAATGAATGTGAGATCAAAGCTGATCAGGTGGTAGCCCAGAAAGTCAAGGTTTACAGAGAGAAGGCAGAAAGGAGCTAAGGCTGGCTTTATATTTCTATGTATTTTGCTTTGAATGCGTCTTTATAAAACTTGCTAAGGAAGAGAATGAACCTTCAAGAAAAGACTTTGGCCAAAGGCCACTGATGAGCTTTCAGGGAAACCATGAGAAAGAAGTCAGTGAGCCATGAGCCTCTCTCAGTGGGTCCCCAGGACCCTGATGTGCAGGCCTTCTCCACCAGGAGCATCTACTTCCCAGATTTCTAGCAAGTGCTGGGAAAGGCTGATTCCACATGCAAAGTCCCACCCTTTCCTTCTTTTCCTCCTCTTCAATCAAAGAATGACTGGAAGCTTTTTTTGCACAGAGGTATAAACAGTGGTTCACAAAACTCTTTCTAGGTAAACCACTAGTAGCCACCTGGAATGTTCCCCTTCCTAAGGGTATTTGCACGACAAGCAAAGCCTTCACCTAAGGGTTTGTATCTCTTCCTAAAATGTTAGGGATCAGACAAGCAGGAAAATGTCAGGATGGTGAAGGGTTCCAGGCAACTGTGTTCTCTGTAACTCTAACATAGACTGACGGACCTGAATGAGCTGACTATCCACTGCTGTTGTAGTGAGTAGTAAAAAGAGGGGGCTGTGTCTTTCTTCCACTCTAGGGCCTTAATGACCTACTTGGAGGCAGGCCCTACTGACAAGCTTCTATTGAGCTCCATGCCCACTACCATCATCCCCCTCCAGGTTTTCTTCAGACTTTCCCTAGATTCATGACCTCTGAACATTTTCATGGATCACCCTAGTAGGAAATTATTGAGCAAACCCCTCCTCCCATATTCATGTTTATTTTTTTAATTATATGCATGGCATTCAAATACATTACCTAAAATTAAAGAATGAATACTTGGTAAAAGTTTAGCCTCAGTGATGCTAGATGTCCATCCCTATTTCCAGTAGTTTTCTTGAGAACTTTGAATGTACTTGGTTTGCATTTGGTCATCCCTCCCTTCAGCAAATATTCACTGCGCACTCGTAGGTGCAGGCACAAGATATGAAAGCTAAGATATTATCCTTCCTGGGAGATTATTATCTATAACATGGTGGCCATCTGTCTCCCATCTGTGTCCCCTTTTACATCATCCTAAAACTCTTTAAAGACAACATTTATATTTCCAGGTATTAAAAGTTAAGTCTTTCATTTTTTCAGCCTTGAAAATTGCTTTATTTTGATTATGCAAAATACAAAGCAAGCAAGTACAATAAAGTGCTGATTTTTGTAACTGTGCATATAGTTGGGTGCCACCACAGCTGGCAGAAAGAACATAATTTAACAGCGGTTCTCCTTGAGACAACTTCTCAGTAATTAAAATGAATTAACAAATCCAAACTGGAAAGAAACTAACACTCCAGTTTCTTGCTGATCTCTGAAGTCTGAGAAAATGCAAGAAAAAAAAAACAACAACAACAACAAAAAAAAAAAAACAGGCAGAGTTTTAAAAAATGTCCAAAAAAGAAACATTAAAGAAATATAATTGAATGCCAATTTTAATCTCTTTAACAAACAGGGCTTTCTTCCTCAGAATGAGGGCTTTCTTCCTCAGAATGATACCAGGATTCTCAGCCTATCCTTTCTCTTCATGTGAATGTTAATATACTGTCCTGGTACCAAAGTAGAGAAGGATGCCATCATCCAAAGAGCTCCGGACCACAGTGTTAGAGGCCCACGACCCTGCTGCCAACTTCTCATTTCTGAAGCCTGAGGTCTTTCATTGTGAATGGCTGCTTCCCAGGCATTCAAAAGGAATGAAGCTAAACATGATTAAGTGCTTCCTGCAGCTTCAAGCTCTTATTAATTGTTACTTTTCTTTGAACATATCCGTCTAAGGAGTTTCACGATGGGCTTTATCCTGCAGTTTCATGAAAATAATGACTGACAGTGATTTTCCTGTCTTCCATCCCTCCAGGCCCACAATTTACTTGCAGTCTAGAATTCTGTTTCTAGCTGTGACCAATTGAAGCTCACACAAATGCCCAGGTGACAGATCTAGGGTGTTTCCTGAATCTTTCCTTTCCTGTTACTATTGGAAACTCTCTTGATGCTTGATCTTAGCACATGAGGAGGAGAGATGCTTCTCAAGGTGGGTGAGGAACCAATACGTGGACCTGCCTGAGAGCTGGCACTGAATCTGTTTGACCTAAATAAGCACATCCAATGATAAATTCTTTGTGACAGTGACAGAAGTGAAGAGAGCCATGTTATAGAGCCTTGTTACAGGGGGTCTGTCTCAGAGAAAAGCAGACTTCGGGAAACACTAAGCATCCAAAAATCTGACACTGAAAAGAAGTCAACATAAGCCTACTGTCCAGGTCCATGCAGGGCAGCAGCTATGTAGAAAATTCCAGTTCAGTTGAAGGGACCCTCCAATAATCTGAAATACCTCAAGGAAATATACCGTCCTAGAGAACAGTCCTCTGAGACTAGAGAGACTCACACACAGACTGGAAAGCCACTGGTCTTGAAAGGGTGGTTCAGTAAGATGCCTTTGAGGATGTTGTATTCTGACTCTGTTTTGCTTTAGTTTCTAGATGTCGTGCGGCTGGTCCATCAGAAGTCCTGGAAGGTGGGAGATATCTTTCACGCAGTTGTCCAGTACTGCAAAATGCATGAGGAGCAAAAAGAAGGGACCCCAAGTCTCTTTGACTGGCTCCTGGAACTAGGATAAGGCAGCTTTGCCCTGGAGAATGTCCTTCCTTTGTCCTGGCATAGATCACAGTGGTTTGCTCTAAACACTCTGAACTTTCTCAAAACATCACATCTCATTAGCAGAACTATAAGGCATGTACGGCTCAAGTCCACTGGACATGGAATAAATTTGAAGGAAAGCAAAATAAAAGTCTACAAATCAATACAACCTGTTTGGATTATCAAAAGAGCTTGTGTTGGAAGAGCCGGAAGAGACATTCCAGTGGGGCCCAAGTTAGAAAGCTCATGATCAGGCCCAAGATATGGCTGGACTCACATAGGTTTAATAATGTAAAATGAGATGTCATGTCTCCAATTATATGAATCAACAGGAAACAAACTCACTGGTTAAAATAATTTTATAAACTATGCTATAAAGTTCATTTTACTTTTCAGAACAGACTGAGGGGTTGATAGCCCAGAGAGACACTTAGAATATGCAGGAGAAATGCCCAGACTTTGTATAAATAATTTCCACTTTAAGAACATTATCAGTGGATAATAACAGGAATGAAACAGTGTCCTCCACTGAGGCGATTTCATGTATTCACTGCAATCCACTAATAAACTTCCCACTTTTTGCCAACAATCTCTGGGTTCCTGGCTAACCAGAAAACTGGTGGCATTCAACTAGACAGAGGAAGACTGAATACTGCCTTGGTCCCATTACTGCTTAACTTGGGTAAAAATTATTGTAGAATTCTTCATCTAAGGGAAAGCTTTCTTACTTAAAAGAAAAGGAAATAGTTCTTTGAGATAAAATCTGCTTATGCTTTGGATTATATGAAATATAAACTTTTGATTTATTTTTATTGTAAATTATGGAGAGATTATTATCTTAAATAATATATTGAGTAGTTAAGAGGTTTGGAAACCATGAAGAGATTGTCTGAAATCATATATTGGCATTGAGCTCAGGGTTTGTGTTCTGAACGTGGAGGGACGTGTGTGGCTGCCTATTCTTCCAAGGACTTTATAGGGTTGGAGTCAGGGTAACAACCTTGTGTTGACCTGACCTTGTAGGTGGGATTTCAGACTTCTGACTCAGTGATAATGGCACTCAGTTTGAGAAAAAAAGGATTTGTCACATTTTAAATATTTTAATAACAGAGATTTACTCTTGTGAAAACTAAAGTTATCTAACATCTCGCTACATCTTTTCTCCCAACTAAATAAGCTACCTTTTACTTTCTTGATCAAAGAGTTGTTTAATAAGAATCTTCTGAAATACTCTGCTTTTACTGTGTTTTTAGACTGAGAAGTCATTTTGAATCTGAACAAGGCCATATGCCATCATGCTGGCCTTACCATATCTAGCGCTCCCATCTTGAAATGCCAGGAAGGCTTCCTGTAAGCCATACTCCCCACCCCACCACCACCGTCGATGCCAGGAGTCTTTCTGAGGGCTCACTGGGCATTTATTACACAAATGGTCCAAATTTAGGTTGTATGTTTAGTTTGATACATTAACCAAATTTTAAAATCCATCCATTATCTCAAACTGAAATGTGCTTCTTTGTGCTACTAAATGGAAACTGATAGATTTATTTTTTAAACAATCCCAGAATATTGTATGTAGATGTTTGTTGTGCTTGAATAAATGTTTACTTACCCTACAAAGCACAAATACTGGATTGTAACCATGTGATGAAGTTATATATGTTGTACTAATGTTGCAAACTAATCAATAAATTTCTGTTGCCAAACTTTCAATCATTTTTTTTTCTCCCAGAACTTTAAGCATCTCTTAGAAAACCTCATGATGTGATTAGATAAAATGAGTTGTATCCCTTAGATAAGTTTGGCTGTCCTGCTTTCAATTTTTAATTAGTAAATGTTCTTTGATGAAATATGATAGAATCAGTAAAATTCGTATTCATCTGTTTCTCATCCTTGGTACTATTTACATGTGGAGTCAGATAATTCTCTGTTCCAGGGGTTGTCTTGTTTAGTAGTCTCCCTGATGTTTACTTATTAGATGCCAATAACTGCCTCCCTCCAGGTGCAACAACCAAAAAGTGTGTCTGGACATTACCAAATGTCTCCTAGGGGATAAAGTCAAGACTGGGTTTGGACCACTGGTGTATGAATGCACTGAAGGCACGGGCCCTGAGGCTTCAGGAGGTGTTACACTGAAGGAGGAGAGCCTGGAGCCCCTAGTCCAGGGAGTCCCAACAGAGGCCTGAAAACCAGCATCCCCTACCCAAGGCCCACGTGATATAGCCTTTACATTAAGTCTGGAGGACAGGAGAAAGAGACACAAGACCAACAAGGAGTCTACAGGCCTAGGGTTAACCAACCTAAACCCAAGTAAACCAGAGATTAATTCACCAGGTAAAGGCTCGGGAAATAAACCAGAATGTTTGCAAATAAAGCTTTGGAAATCATGGGTATGCTATTCATTAATAAGAAGGCACGAGTGTGCTCCTGTGAAGAAGAATTCTCAGTTGGCCAGGGGTATCTTCAAATAGCAACTCTGGACATTGGCAAGGAGAGACTATTTGAAAGGATTATTACAAGGGGGAAGGAGGACATTTCAGAGGTGATGGGGACTGTTGATAACACTCCAACATGAGATCAGCAAGGGTCTCAATGACTAGGCTTAAAATGACCAGGTGTGAGGACATGGGATGGATAGGTACAACCAAGCAGGGGGCATCATCAGGGAATATTTTATCCTGAGGTCAGCCAACACTCAGGAGGGGATTTGGGGGGAGGGGCTGTATGCTGTATCAGGTCAGGATGAGTCAAAGTCTAGGGGCCCAAGCTAAAAAAAAAGAAGCTTAGCTTAAGCTTACCAACAAGTACTGTATTCCAATAGACCAGTGGATACGGTTTAGCTAACCCCAAGGTGGAAATTTAGAGGGTCTGTGCCTAACCTTGTCATCAGTGGGTATTATCTAAGTTATATGGGGAAGAATGACTTCTTGCAATAAGCTGTATTCCAGAACAAAAAATTAGGGGAGAATTGTCTGACGATGGCTGTTCAGCAGCATCACAAGGCTCAGGTAAAGTTCATAGTGTAGCAAGACTCAAAGAATAATCCTAATGGAAGCATTATCCCTGACTCTTGCTGGAGCCCACTGGTCTTTCTTCCACAGAACAAGTGCATGTCCTCCCACTTAGCAAACACCCTTTGAGTGACTACAGGGTGTCCACATCATGTTGGACAGCTAGAATGAAGTTCTTCAATCTGGCACCACAGCACTCATAGGCTACAGGGGAAGCAGACACTTCAAAACCTAGTAACACAGCATAATAATTGCTAAAAAGGAACTCTCCTCAGACTGGCAAAGGAGAGAACACTGGGAAGGGAGTATTTATTGCTGCCTGGTGGCATGTGGAGCCACTTTCAAGGAGAAAATATTCAAGTTTAGTTTTTTGATTATGAGGGAATCATTTAAACAAGTGGGGATTAGGAATGCTGAAGGCCTAAAGGAAGGACATTTAGAGCAAAAATAAGGTCATGAGCCATGATCTGAACATGCAACCTGAGATATGGACGGGAGATTGATGCAATTATAACATAGGTGTGAGCTGAAGAAGACACCAGATTTGAGGCGGGGGATTGAAATCAAAGTCACATTTTAATAATCTTTCTATTTATACCACAGATTCCCAAATGTATTTTGAAGCATGTTAATCAAAGGAGATACAAAACCAGATGTACATGTAAAAGAAATAACGTGAATGTATGTGTGACTCACTAAGCCATAGCTTACACCTGGGATAATGCCATGTAAGATTACTTAGTTCCTGGATAAAGGAATTCCCCCCATCTCTATGGCTTGTTTTCCTCACATAGCACAGAGCAATGGGGGTTCCCAAGACCAACTTCATTGTCAAAGATATACTGGAAGGACTGATGGAACTCAGAAACCAGGTGTTGACTGCTATGATTTATTGCAACAAAGGGGTGGAATCAGATAAGCAAAGAAAAAAGGCACACAGGCTAATGTCCAGAAGAAATTAATGCAAGCTTCCAGGTGCTTCCTCCAATGGAGTTGCACCCGACGCACTTAATTCTCCAGCAAAGATATGTGAGAGCACAGGCAAAGTGTCACCAATCAGGACAGCTCCATCAAACTGTGGTGTCCAGGTTTTTTATTGGGTGTCAGTCCCATCACATGCACCCATGTGACTAATCTCAGCTGCTCATATCTCAGCACATCCCACGACCAAAACCAGGGGTCTACGATAAATCACATTAGTCATATAAATTATCTGGTCATTCTGACATCACATGACCCAAGACATCAGGCATCCAAAACACTCTCATACTCTCAATCAGGCAGAACATTCCAAAGACTCAGCTCTTAGAGGCCAACCAAGAACCAGTTCTGAAAGTAGACTCAAGATTCTACTCTGATACTCTGGGCACACACAACCCAGGCACAAAGATTAATTTATGGCAAATTGTATTGTCCTTGGTATGAACACCTGGCCTAAGTCTTTATACATACACATCTGTCTCTTTTATCACATCATGAAGAGCAGCACACAGCACAGATCGAGTAGGATTATGAAGGATTCTTCTCACAGAGGAAAGCAGAAGGAACCACCATTTGTTGAGATAGAATGAAGGTGGATGAAACCAGGAAGGGCCTTTAAAATGCTCTGAATTTTGCACTCCCTGGTGTGGCATTTGTGAAGTGCTCTTCTATTTTCATGTAGCAAGACAATTCTTTTCAACCTAGCATATTTTCAATAATAAAGGCCGTAGACCACACGTTGACCTTTCATAACCACAGAAGTGTTAGATAAAAGCCTCACTAAATTAAATCAGTTATTTCCTCATTCATTTTTTTCGTTTGTTTTGGTACCAGAGATTGAATACAGGGGGGCTTAAACACCAAACCACATCCCCAGCCCTTTTTTATATTTTTATTAGAGACAGGGTCTCACTGAGTTGCTTAGGGCTTCACTAAATTTCTGAGGGTGGTTTTGAACTCATGATCCTCCTGCCTGAGTTTCCTGAGCCTCTGGAATTACAGGCGTTCACCACCGCACCTGGCTCCTTATTCACTTTGACAGAATCTCATTTTCAAATACAGGTACAGGAATAAGTCGTAAAACCAGTAACTTGTAGTCTCATCTATGTGGATCCTCCAGCATATTACTAAATGTTTCTGAAATTTAGTAATTTTTCTACTATAACCAATAAATTGCCTGGATAAAGTGATATATAAAACCTCTTCAGACTGATCATTTTAAAAATTGCTGACTGGCAAAGAGGAGAGTTAAAGACGAATCCATCATGGGGAGCCCAGAATTGTGCAGGGTCTGGTGTCTCCGGGAGGTAAAGCTCAGAGGAGGCTTTCTTTGAAATATGGAGCCACACAGAAAGGTCTAAATTTGAGCCATTCTGGCCAAAGAAAAATTTGAGAGTGTCCAATGAGACAAAAAAAAAAAAGATGTAACTATAATTCTCAACATTTTTGTGTTAAATCTCTTTTGAACACATGAGGAAAGCTGCAAACACAGAGTTTGGAGATTTTCTGCACAGCCATGGGGGTTATTCAGGCCTTTTCTGTAGCCCAGGTCTAGGTTCTAGATAGTAGAGTCTCTTACCTTCTAGAACCCCCTCCAGTATCTACCTATCTTGGCCCACAGGGGGTCTTCCACACCTTTGTTCAAGGAAACCAGAACTCAAGTATTTATAAGGAAAACATCTCAAAAAGAGTCAGATTCCAACCAAAAGAAATGTTATTTTTCAAGATTTATTTATTTTTTAATAGAAAATGTCAAAGAAGGAAACACAAACAGGAAGGAAGGAAGAAAGGAAGGAAAGAAGGGGAAAGAAAAGGGTAACTCTCCAAGAAATACTCTGTGATTTTTTTTTCCATTACTGGGATTGAACCCAGGAATGCTCTGTCATTGAGCTATATACCAACCCCCATCCCCCCACCTTTTTTTTTTTTGGTACCAGGAATTGAACCAGAGTGCTAAACCACTGAGCTCCATCCCCAGCCCATTTATTTATTTATTTATTTATTTATTTATTTATTTATTTATTTATTTATTTTAATTTTGAGGCAGGGTCTGGCTAAGTTGCTGAGGCTGGTTTCCAACTTGGGATCCTCCTGCCTCAGCCAACTGGGTACTGGGATTCCAGATGCGTGCAACACTGTGCCACAGCAAGAAACACATTACTTTTAAAGTAAGAAAAATCTACATCCAGAAGTAGAGAATCTAGTTTCTGTAGCATGCCATGGCTAAAACATGACAAGATGAGTTGTCTACATTGCTTAGGTTTTTCATGCATCAGTAAAAGCCCTGGGCCTCACTCATGGTTCCTAAAGAGCTTTCCATTCAACATCAGCAACTTCAAGTTCTCCTCAGCTGCTGGGGGAGGAGGCGCTGATGTCAATCCTCCAATCCCACCGTGTGCCTTTGCTCTTCTTTCATCTAGATTTGCTGAAATCAGAGGCAACAGTTCTAACCACTCAAAGCAGATGAAATGTATTACTTTAAAAATCACATCAATTAAAACAGAATCTCTTTTGAAGAACTTCTTTCTTCCTGAGGAAATAAGGAGATATAACATATGTCCTAAGCAGCCTGTTAATGTCTAACTAAGCATTTCTTGATATTTCAGCAGGATGCCTGGCATTCCCATAGGCGTTGGTATCTAGCCATTCACTCCATAAATATTTACCCAACACCAAGCATGCCAAGCACTGCTCCAGACTGCACGAGAAAATCCAGTCCAG